CTGAATTTAGGTGTGGATTTTGCTATCTGGAATTAGAAAACATACCAGCTGGGATCTTTAATATCATTCCCAGTACTTTTTTACCTAAACAAGAAGGACCATTTTTCTTGGACTTTAATAGTGTTATCCCCATCAAGACAACACAGCTTCAGTGACAGAGGAACTGTGATAACTGGAGGTTAGACTGAGCAAGCATCAACTCTTCAAGGAGGACACAATATTCAGGAAAATAGATACAACAGTCAGCAGAGGATTAAGTTTCAAAACGTGTTACAGTGGAATGCGGTGCTTGTCATGGTGTTTGGTAAGAATTGTGTACAGTCAAGAGTCCCCTTTATCACCTAGAAGTGCTGTTTACATAGTCTTGTGTACATAGAAAGTCGGCTTGCATTTAGGGGCCACTTTGTATAAAAAATGCAGCTGATTACAAATCAGACTCAGTCATCACTGTGAGATACCTTTGCTCAGAGGACACGGCTGAGATCAGAGGAGGGATGCAGACTCACTGAAAAGAATGGCAGACTATTTTAATGTCCCCAAATAATTAGGTTTTCCTTTGTTTTAGAAAGCATGTTGTTAAATCTGTTTGTTGAGTCCCTTCGTATATCTCGGCAACTGATTACCAAATGAATCATATCACTGTAATTAATGTAGCATTATTTATGACTTTAAATGTTTATTGTTGCCCAGATGTTATAAAAGAATAAAGCTTTAAGAAGTACTAATTAGCTTAGCATGAAGATGCTCAGGCTTAAGAATGAAAGTCATTGATGTTTGAAGCTGTCTCCCATTGAGGTATATTCATGGTTGCAATTTTTTTAAATCAGGTTAATGAAAGTAGTAGTCTGAAGATGTTAAACATGTTACCATTTAGTTTGTAGTCTTTTTGAATTACTCTGTAATTCAGTGCTCTTGTGGTAACAGCGCTTTGAAGAAATTCAGAATTTATTGTGTGGTGAGAGGGTTATACAGCATTCAGAAAAAGTGAGTTGCCAAGACCTGATGTGTAAATTCCTAGCTGTTTACATAGAAATCCATCCAAACAATGTTTGAGATTTTGAAGGTCTGAAAATTAATGGGGTGGGATTTTTCATTGTCTCTACTTTATAATTATAAAAACGTCTTATTTTATATTTCTGCTGCCTTTAATTGAAATAAAATGTTTATACTTTGGAAAATGCATAGTTTAATGTTAGAGAATTTGATTTACTAAAATATTTCAACTTGTGTGTTTCATTGAAAAGAGAATTATTTGCATAAAAATACATGCTTCTGAAATCTTTTAATTCAGTGGAAGATTATTAATGAAATTTCAGTTTGACAAATACCAGGATTTAGAATTTGAATTTTTTTTCAGTTTAAAGATGTTTTATACTTCTACAAAAAGTTGTATGTGCAAGACTCAAATAGGCAGCTTTCAAACACAAATGAGACAGTGTCTTTCACACGGCTGTGAAAGAAAATTTAATGCACTCTTCAATACCACACATGTATTTTAACTACGCAATTCAAGTTCTGGGCTTATTTTAGGTCTGCATAAGATATTTACAGTCTGATTTTAAGGTTGGTAATGTAGATTTCAAGCTGCGTAGAGTACAGGTTTCTTTATTACAGGCAAGATGTTAAACAACAGAGCAATACTCAACAGTTATTTTGTCCCATTTCAATGCATTTGTAATCTGAATCTTTTTTTTGCTAATTACCCATTTGTTGTTGGTTGATTTATTGATGACAGCCATTCTTTCCAGGGTGAGGTGGAATCTCAGTGTTAACTTGTATTTCTTGAATGACCAGTGCTGTTGAACATTTTTTCATATATTTATTTGCTGTTTGTATTTCTTCATCTGAGAAGTGTGTATTTATTTCAGATGCCCATTTATGGATTGGGTCTTTAAATTTGGGAGATCTGAGTTTTTGAGTACTTCATGTGTTCTAGATAATAATCCTTTTTCTGTGGAAGAGCTGGCAAACATTTTTTCCCCACATTGTGGGTTGTCTCTTCACTCTTGGTGGTTTCTCTTGCTGTGCAAAAGCTTTTTAATAAGATCCCAATTGTTGATTCTTTGTTTCTGTGCAATGAGGATTTTAATCGTAAAGTTTTTGCCTAAACTAGTGTCTTCAAGAGTTTTACCTGTTTTATCTTCTAGTGGATTTAATGTGTTCTAATATTTAGATGTTTGATCCATTTTAAATTTTAGTGCATGGTGAAAGATAGGGGTCCAATTTTAATCTTCTGCATGTACAGAGCCAGTTTTTCCAGCACTATTTATTGAAGAGGGTATCTTTGGCACCTTTGTCAAAGATAAGGTGCCTTAGTGTATCTGCAATTGTTTCTGCATCTTCTAATCTGTCCCACTGATCTTTGGGTCTTTTTTTTTCCAGTACCATGCCATGTTTGTTTGTTTGTTTTAATCACATTAGCTTTATAGTATAATTTCAAGTCAGGTATTGTGATGCCCTGTCTTGTCTTTATTACTCAGGATTGCCTTTGCTATTCTGTCTTATCTGGTTCCAGATGAATTTTAAGATTGTTTTCTCTAATTCTGGAGTATGCTCTTAGAATTTTGATGGAACTGCATTAAATCTGTGTAACAGTTTTGGAAACCACAGCCATTTTCACTATATTGGTTCTTCCTACACAAGAACATGGATATCTTTCCATTTTCTAATATCCTCTTCAGTCTCCTTTTTCAGACTACAGTAGGTTTCAGTATAAAGGTCTTTTATATACTTTAATTGTTCTCATGCAGACTATTTGTGATAAATTTGGATCAAGCTGGTAATGAGTTGTGATCACCTCCTTTAGCGCAATCTGTAAATCTTGAAGATTTTAAGGTTGTTCTCTTGCTTTCAGTTCAGTGCTTATCCATTAGGTCCTCACAGCACTTTATCTTCATGTCCCTGTCCTTCAGACAGCAGTGCTCACACAACAGCACGCAGCAGTGCCATTGCACTGTCCAGCATGTTCCTGCCAGCTTGAACCACTGGTGGTACAAACAGATCTAATCACTTCTGTTGGTCTTTTTACTGATAAAATAAAAAGCTGCCCAATGGGACAGTCGTGTATGTACCACCAATGGTTGGCAGGGAGGCATGAATTATAGCTCCATCATAAATGTGTTAAATCATTTTGCTGGCTGTTTGTTCTCAATTCTAAAGGTACGTCTAATGTACCTTTAGGTAAAGGTCTCTAAGGTAAAGGTCCTTAACATTAGACTGCATTGCAATTTCTTCTGCCAGATTAGTGAGCCTGTTGTCCTTAATCTCAGCATCTGTCTTACTCTTTCAGTATGGGGACAAAATACCAGATATCCATAAATTAAAGGAGGAAAGCCTGATTTTAGCTTACAGTTTGTAGGTTTCAGTCCTTGGCTGGCTCCAAGGTAGAACGGCATGGCAGAGGAGAAACAGTTCATGGGATGGTAGGCAGAAACAGCAGCACTCAAGGCAGATTAGGAAAAAAATTATATATATATATAAAATTTATGTATCTGGCTCCAGGCCTGACCCACAGTGATCTACGTTCTCTCTCCAGGCTTTACCTTCCAGCGTCATACACAGTGTAAACTCACCAATGGTCTAACCTAGTGTCACACACCCGTGATCCAGTCACCTCCCAAAGCCCCACCTGTGGGCTTGGGGGGGACATCTGGGTATAAGCCGAAACACAGGGACAAAATACTCAGTGCCTGAAATCTCTGTGAGGAGAGGTTTAATTTGGCTTGTGATCGTGGAGGTTCACTGCATGGTCAGTTTACTCCATGGCAGAAACAGCATGGCAGAAGGGTGTGAGTGTAGCTGCTCCCTCCATGGCGGCCAGAAAGCAGTCCTGGTAAGACCGCCAGCAAGGGGGACCCTCCAAAGGGGCCTCCAGCTGCCCCCCAGCACACTGTGCTGTGAAAATTCAGAAGATTAATACACTAGTGAGTATAGCGCCCCCACAATCTAGGAATCTTATATCAATTGGCACAGGCTTGTCTTCTGAAAGATAAGGGAAAGCCCCAGTCTGCTATCCACTTCCATTCCCTGCAAAAACTATTAGAAATTTCTAATCATTTGTGAAATGCTGTTCTGTGGCTTTTGTTTATGAAAGGCAATTATAAGGTTTAATTCGTAGGGTAACATATTTGAGCCAGAAACTGACCACATGTCAGATTCTGAATATTAGATCATACAACTTGACAAATACTTATCAGAACTTTAGGCTACCCAGTGCTTTTCCAAATGGCAGTGTTTATGCTAGAAAGTGGAAAAATGAACAATGCCTCATTTTCAGGGAATAGTTTTTGCTAGTAGTAATCACAAAAGTCTCACGGTCTTTTATTGGAGATAGAATCCACCGTACAGGGAGATTTTACATAAGAATTGAATGGACCTTGAAAATAGGGTCACTGCAGTTCAAATAACCCTGGTGACTTTTCCCCACAGCATATTTTAATAGAAATGCACACATTAAAAGTCATGAATACAGGGCCAGGGATTTAGCTCAGTGGCATAAGTTGCCTGCCTGGCAAGCACTAGGTCATGAGTTCGATCCTCGGTACCAAAAGAGAAAAAAAAAAAAAACCACGAATACAAAGACCAGCACCTTAAACATTTCCACTAGAGAAAGGATCCGTGATAACCACCTGACTCTTAACCATGAAACAGACACTTCAGAATCTTGTGGGAACATAAGAACAAATATCCAAGTGGAGCACAGATCAATTAAGCGCTTGGTGATGAGACCAGACCCCAAGTGTTTAGGTTCCCAGGGTTGAAAATCTCTTCACACAATCACCTTAGTGGTATTTTCCTGTCTCTGTCCCTTTACTGCTCTCTTTTAGCACAGGTGTAGTTCTAACACAAACCTTGTGTTTGGGCTTAAATTACTAGGATTCGGGGCCTTAACTGAAAATGAGAACAACTGACCACTGCATTCCATGATCTTAGTGGTAACAGGGTTACCTGGAACAGAAGAGTCAGGCTGAAATTTCTTATTTAAAGTCACACCAACACACTTTTCTTCAGCAGTTTTTATTACACTCGAGGTATTAAGTACAAAATAACCTTGTAATTAGGATACTGTATCAGTCAAAAAGGAGGAACTACTACAGTAAGAAGAAATATATAGATGACTGTACAGGATGGGACAGGATTAACAACTGGAAATGGGCAGGTTGTGTTTTTCTTTTAGAAATGCTCAATTTTCTTAACAAAACGAGACAAATGAAATACAGCACTCTAAATATGCATAACCAAAAAAATATGAAAAAAAAGCAGTCTTAGCACTAACAGTAGCATAACAGACTCCCATCACTTCTATTTAACAGCCTTTGCCAACACATGCCTACTCCCTTTCCTAGCTTTAAGGACATTTCCTCTAAGGAAAACTAGTGCAGCATAACCCTTAAATAATTTCATTTATTTTTAAAGTTACAACCTATGTGGAAATGAACATCTTTTCAATCTAGATGCAACATTGGCAGCCACTCTTCACATGCACTTCTCTTAGAATAAACCCCCTCGGCTGGCAGGACAAGGGTATGTTACAGGCCCCTTCTTGCCCACAGCCACAGACCCCCTTCTGTGCTATGTCCCTACTACCCTCACCCCCCATCCCCACGCTGACAGTCACCTTTCCCACCCCCAAAGTGCAGTTCACAGGAGCCTTCCCAAGAAATAGTTTTAAAGAGGGTCCCAGCATACATGCTGCTTTTAAAAAGCCCCCTTGCAACCCTAGAGGTGATGAAATGAATTATGTCCTTGAAATACTTAAGCCTTCACTAGGTCACAAAAGGGTGCTCTGAATACCTTTATTTGTTTTGTGGGTCTTTAAACTGTTTAAATGCCCTGGGACATAATGGAGAGAATACCTCACTTTCCCCAAACTGAGGGCCAGAGAGAGGAGAAATTCAAGTTACGGCCTTAGTTTGGCTAGGCCTCCAGCCCAATTCCACACTTGCCTTTCACAGGAACTAGTTATTGCTTCTACAACCCTCTTACAGGGAATGTTCCACAAAGGCTGTGTACCTGTTCACAGTTGTAATAACTGCACTCTGAAAAACAAACCAGTCCATGAGCTCTTACCAGAAGGAAAGTCTTTAGTCCTGAAGGTCACGGAAACTTCATTAGTGCAGTTTAGAATAAATGCGAAAGATTTGGCATATGTTAAACAATTTTTGGCACAATGTTCTCCAGTTTTCACGTATCTTCTTTTGTACATGGGCCATTGCTCAGTGGGTCAGCCAGTCTGCACCATTTTTATGTCAGCAATAATCCCGTCTCTTCCCTTTGAACACTGGAGGGACAGCTGCTTCATCCGGGTCTCCACAGCCTGGCCCTCGGGGGAGATGGTGTTCTGGCTTTTACCCCTGACACCAATACCACTGTTGTTGAGACCTCGATTGTTGTTGGCTTTGTCACTGGTTTTATTCTCTGCCCCTTCTGCCCTGTCTCCTGTGGAAAAACAAAAGTAACCTTATGGGTACTAGCAGTTATAAATTTCTTAGGCACAGACTAACCAGTCAGCCCTGCCCTGCCTGGCCCAGCCCTTCAAAATTCCCAGCGTCACAGTCTAACCAGTCAGCCCTGCCCTGCCTGGCCCAGCCCTTCAAAATTCCCAGCGTCACAGTAGCTTCAGAGAGGGTTCTTCACCATGTAACCCTCTACTGCTTTTATTCTTCATAGATTTTATATACTCCATATGACTAGATTGGGTTAGTCATTCTCATTGCTTGGCTGGGAACCCTTCCCTCTGGTAGGTGAGGACCCAAGCTCTGCTTTATCAAGCTGGTCAGAAAGATCCAGCAGCCCTCGGAGCAGTCTGGGAGATGGCCACCAGCAGCTCTGCAGAGACCCGGCAGGCAGCATGGCCCTGGGCGGGAAGGGTGAGGGGGCTGCTACTCACCTCGCTCTCCCTCACATTCTGGAGAAGAGGCCCCACTACACTCGCTCCGAGGGCCCAGCACCGGGAACATTATTCCGAACTCTGACAGGGACAGGGGGCTGGGCAGATCCAGGCTGCCGGGCCTTGCGACTGCAGGGAACTGGTCCAGCACTTCAGATGGACTTGTTGGTCCTGAACTGAAACTGGACACAGACTGAGTTTCTGAGTCATCTTCAGACACAAAGTTGCTACAGTTGTCGTCTTCAAAAGCCTCTGAGGCCACTAAGATGAGAGAGAATACCAGTCACACAGGGCATGACAAAGAATACCAGTCTTTCGGGGCATGGCAGACGATAGCCTAGCTCCTTAAACCCCTGCCAATGTGCTGTCTGCTGGCCGCAGCTAGACCCAGCACACAGCTGCCGAGTCTCTGCCCCCAACGAAGCAGTGTGAGCCTTGAGCCTGTCTGTCCAGCCTCCACGGCAGCATGGAGCCAAAGGGCAGGATTCCATGGACAGGCGTCATCCTCACAGTCATCTCAGACACTGCTAAAAGAAGATGGATTCAGCCACAGATCAGGACTCCCGTCCGTTCCCCAGGTTCCTGGAACACATGCTGGACAGTGTGTCCCGAACAAAGCCAGTCTTTCAAAGGTGATTTAAGGGTTCCCATCGGAACCAGAAGCAGCATGAGCTGCTGCAGAATCAGCCCTGTATGAAACATCCACCTGTGTGGTCTTCTGTTTCCTTCCAGGTAACCTCAACTTTCAAAAGACCCACTCAAAGCCTGCTTAGGTCACTATTTGCTACAAAGAACAAAATCCTTTTACCATGCCCCGTAGTTTGTGCTGTCATTTGTAGATCAGAGTAACCAAGGCCCAGAGATAGGTTCCTCCTATAGTTTCAGAGCTACTTTGGCCTTTAGTTGTTTTGCTTTCCATTGTACACAGTTCTGCTTATGTCTTTCCTACTCTCTCCTTTACTTTCCTGTTTTTTTTTTTTTTTTATCGGTACTGGGGATCAAACTCACGACCGCCTGCTTGCAAGGCAGGTGCTTATGCTGCTGAGCTAAATCCCCAGCCCCTCTTTCCTGTATCTTTAAAATAGCCTTGTAGCATCCACAGAAAACTTCAAGGTTAAGGGTTATAATGCTGGGGTCAGAAAATGGACTGAGATCTGAATTCAAATCTTAACTCCACTGTTAACTGTGTGGCCTTAAGTTACCTAACTCTTGATTTAAAGACCTTTTCTATATAGACTTTAATCACAGCACTCAGGAGGCGGGAGGATCATTGTGTTTGAGACCAGCCTGGCTACAAAGTGAGCTCAAGGCCAGCCTGAAATACATAGCAAGACCTTGTCTCAAAAAAGACAAGACAACACAAAAAACAAAAAAACCCAGAAGTAAAATTAACCTATATAGTCATTGCTTGGTTTTCTTTAGAGTAGGCACCCAAACAACTGCTGATGGAATTAAAGAACTACCAAGAAAGGTACCTGGAGTAAAGCCAACCAGGGATCATCCCGCAGAAAAACCAAAAGCAATGAAATGTTCAGAGCCAGTGAGGAGGAGGTTTTTCTCCCTGACTGTTGCTGAAGGCAGTCCGAGGTCTCCCGTCAGACAGCCGGGAGCACCACCGTTTGCTGCTGAGTCTGTGCTGGGTCCCAGGCCTCCTTTCTTAGGGTCCTAACCACTTTTGCCACACAGCTAGACAGTACCGCACTCTCTGTTTTGCAGGTGAAGAAACAAAGTTTAAATACTAGTAATGATGTGAAAGCCGGGATCTGAATCGAATCTGATTCCAGAGTGTTCTTAAGTCCTCTTTGCTGCAGGACTTCCTAGGACCTTCTATGATGCAAGTGTAACATTTCGCAAACTTTCTGGACCACAGAATCCTGACTTTGTGCGTCATTTAGCTGCATCTCGACGAGCACAGGGTTCCACAAAACATGGGAAACCACTGGAAATAGTGGCAGGCCTGCCCAACTCTGAAATCCTCTGGTGATGGGCACAGAGGGTAGGGACCTCAGGGCAATCCCAGTCACATGGTCCTGGCTTGCCTGACTCACCAGAAACTGCGTCTGGCTCGGGTTTGCCTCCGGACAGGTCCTCTACAGATGTGCCGCTGCCCTCTGCACCCACGCCGCAGCCCCGGGGCCCCATGGCACTGGAGCGCCGCCGCTCGTGGATCTCATCCGAGATTCGTTCCAGGTTCTTCAGGGCCGTCTTGTACTCTCCTTTTGCCAGGGTCAGTTTGGCCTGCAGGTCATCTACTGTCTTCTTCAGTTGCTGTCAGGAAGATGGGAGGCTCCGTAAGGGAAAGTTGCCTTCGTGGGCCGTGAGGTGCTTTTTGCATGCACATAAGTGATTCCATTTCAGAGAATTTCCTAAGACGTGACTAAGGGAGGAGCTACTCGCTCATCACCCCGTCCATTCACCAGACAAAAGATCAGCCACCGCCAGCCCAAGTCCCATGTGGTGACAAGTGGGACTATATTCACAAACACAGATTACAGCCCAGCAGGGAAGAAACACAGGTCCTAATGTCTAGCTATCTGGATCCCAGGACAATGGTTCTCAAACCATGCATTGGCCGCCCACCCCAGAAGTTCTGGTTTTGGGGTTAGGATGGGGTCTTGAAATCTGCATTTCTAGTAAATTTCCAAGCACCGCTGATGCATGAGGAAACTCCTAGGCCTGGTACAATCTACAGGGACAACTTCAGACACTAGGGGAGATCCAGGCCAGATCTCTCTGAGGTCTGAAAATGCAGAAAATAATGTGTGTGTCCACTGTCCCCATGCCATTAATGGGCCATGAGAGCGCCTGCTGCCACATTAAAAGTGGGGCTTTGAGTGCAGAAAAATATCATCTGAGACACAGCTGAAGGCCACACGTACCTCAAGTTGCACGTAGTATTTTCCCTTGAGCTCAAAATAAGGTCTGTGAAAACAGGAAGGAAAATTGTAAGAGCAGTTCGATGCAGTGACCAGGGGAGCCTGAAAGATGCCTGAGAGACACTCAGAGGTGGCCAGTTCTCCCAGGGCCTGTGACAACACTGCCAATGTCATGAGGTGAAAGTGATGGTGGGAACATCTCCCAGGACTCAAGTGACAGGCACCAGCCACCAATCTCACTCTTGGCCCTGCTCCACATACCGGGGCCCTGTGCCCTGTTCTCAGCCTCTCTATGGAAGCTGTTCTTGGCCATCTCGGTGTGCCCTGCAGTGAGCTACTCCCTGGGAAGTGGCAGCTGAGGTGGGGAAGGGACTGCTCAAACCTCTTGCTGGACAAGCTAGCATCACCACTGCCCTGCTCGCTGTAAACAGGCTACCAAGGGTGACACAGGATGCCTTGGTGAGTACGAACAGAAAATCTGAAACTTGGAAAGAGGAACGTACGGGCACTCCCAAGTGACCTCAGGGACACATCTCAGGTGGCCCAGGGTGTGCAGAGCACATGGACAGGCATGAGCAGCAGAGGGAAGATGTCCAGGAGACACACGGAACCAAAGTTAGAGCTGGAGAGGTAGAGTGGGGATGGAGAGGGCTGGGAGCCACTCTGCAGACTGCACAGATGGGCCTCTGGCCCTGCAGTCAGAAGGGAGCCAGCCGGGGTGTAAGGATTAGTCTTTACCTTCCTCCGTGACTCTGGAAAGGTTGGCAGAGGTAAAGGCACAAGAACTCTTTGTGGCAGGTAAGTGATGCGTGAACAGGTAAGTGCATGGGATGTGTGCAGTGGGGGTGGAGGGCTCTGGAGAAAAGAGCCACCGTACTATATGGAATGAAGAAGCAGGGAGGGCTGCTCCCCCAGCTTTTGGGGTGCTCCCACATGGACACTGCCTATGCTTCCCAGGGCAGGCACACATCCTCCAGCCACCTCTCCAGCTCCTCCACTGTACAGAACGCTGCACACACACACACATACACACATGCCCTGTGAAAGCAGCAGTGAATGGCTGCTCTTGTACACGAGTGTGTGTGTGTACACGTGGCTCCTGAATGAGTGTGGGCGGAAATCAAAGACAAGGGAGACGGTGTGGGTGGAACCTGGCAGAGGAGGACCAGACTTTCCCTTCAGACCCTCAGCCTCACTGGGTTGGCACCTTTCCTTCACCAGGGAGCAGGCTGTGGGCCTATGCCAAGCGTCCAGCTACCTAGCCCCTCCCAGCAGGCCCAGGGCCCCTTCTCAGAGGCTTTGGGTCTCAGTATGCATGCTCTGCTCCAGGTAAGTCTTTGACTGATGGGTCCAGGTCACTGAAAGTCCTGCCCTTTTGCTCAGAGACCTCACAACTGCAAAGGGAGCAGGCACTGGTCTCCAAGAGTTGTATTTGTCCACCAGGAACATTCTTTTATAAAAATAAAGGAGGGGTTGCAGTGAGAAGAGCTTGAGAAATGCTCCATTGAAACCAGACTTACAGCATTTTATCCACAGAGAACATATTCAGAGACAAATTATTCCCATTATGCCGACAGGTAAACTGAGGGTCAGGGCCCTGTCCAGTCAGCCACAGAGCAACAGGTACTACTGAAATGCCCCCAAAGCCCAGACTGCACTCTACACAATTATTGCTTTTGTATTACTTTTTCCTATGTCTCCCAGTTGTGGAGCAGCTGCTCCTCAGGGTCAGCTGGCTCTGAGGGTGAACAGGTGGGGACAGAGCCCATGCCGGGTCCTTGGTGAGACCCTAGGCCCTGTGTTAAAGGCCTGGCCTGGCCTGGTCTGCACAAGCACATAAAGGCTGAGCAGGTAGGGAAGAGGGTAATCACACTTCCTGGGGGCTCCAGGGTACACGGGGCTGCGCCTGGCTTACTTGGATTTGTTGATGGCTCTCTTGAGTTTCTTCTCCAGCTGTCGCATGCGGCCTATGGCAGCGTTGTACCTGGCTGCTGTCTCCTTATGCACCAGCTCACTCCGTGTCTTGGTCTGCTCCGCCTCCATGACCTTGGAAGGAAAGCAGAGGTCAGCTCTAGTCTGGTTGAGCTCAGAGCAGCTTGGAGTGAGGCATTACATCACTTTACAGACGTCTTCTCTGAGGAGAGTAGCAGGCAGACCGAGACTAAACTGACTTCCCAGTAAAACAGGACATTCTTTCCCACTGATGTATTCTGGAAAGGTCTATAAGATTCAGAGGCCAAGTTGGCTGTGGCTGTGGTATTCTGGAAAGGTCTGTAAGATTCAGAGGCTAAGTTGGCTGTGGCTGTGGTGAGGGGTGGGGTGGGAGGGTGGAAAAGTAAAAATCAGAGACAACTGAAGTATACAGCGTGCATTGTGCCTTCTGCCTTCTGCTTGGGCTCCTGCTCGGAGGAGCCTTCCTGAGTGCCTCTCCTTTTCCCTCCCCTTCGGGGCAGGGGCAGAGGGGCGGTGGGCAGAGAGCCACTACCACCAGTGAAACTGGAGGGACATCAGGGGACTGGAAGACGCCAAATGTGAGACCTGCTTGGGCAAACCCAAGCAGTCAGGGTGACAAAGCAACCATGATTTCAGCTGTCTGGTCCTTCCACAAACGTCTTCAGTTTGTTGGCTGGGCACAGAAAAATCCAAGATCTAGAAAAGTTCAACTTTACATTTAAATTTACAACCAGTTTATTCAGATCAGACATTGAGGTTTGTAACAATCCAGAACTAGAGAGAGACCCGAGTTGTGGTGGGGATATGCTGATGGGAAGGTTTGGTAAAGCCTGTTGATAAAATGAGTTAAAAGAGAGCAGGGGTCCCTGAGAGTCCAGATCAAGGCAGCTCAGAGGCACATTTCTGGACACGGGAGCAATGTTTCCTTCCTCACTTTCCCACAGCGAAACACAGGAACCAGGCCTGCAGGAGGGGAGAGGCGGGAAGGGCGCGTGAGCCCCGGCCACATCTTCCGGTCTCCCACAGTGTCCAAGTGAAGTGGAAAAGCAGGAGCACAGGCAGACTAACAGGCCATCTCCCTTTACCTAGAGAGTATCAGGGGGCACCCCGAGAGCAGGCTCACCGGAGTCCTGCCCACTCCACCCCCACCAGTGCCTGCAGCTCAAAGTTCAAGCAGCCCATAGTGGGAGGTTGTTGTGTTCCACCTTTTCTGCTCAACAGCCAGTTGGCGCTGGAGTGGCTTATTTATTCACTTCCTTGTAAGAAGGAGCTTTAAATGTGTCAATTTCAACATTGCCTCACTTTTCCATATTTAAATTAGAAGATACTGATTCAGCACAAAAATATGACACAGTGTCCTATCTTAGAGACCTTCCTAGGTTATCTATGACCTTGTCTTGGAGCTATTTCAGTAACTGTGAGTGTCTGAAAATTGACAGTAATACAAAAGAGGCCCTTTGTCCTTTGTCAGTCAGATGTCTGAACCCAGGGCCTCACACAGGCAAACACTCAGCCAGCTGAGCACATCCTGGCCTTTTTAATTTTGGGACAGGTTTCACTAAGTTGTCCAGGCTGGCCTTGCGATTCTGCTGCCTCCACACCAAGCTATGAATAATATTTCTGGGCAGTGCTTTGCTTCATCCTTGCTAAACAACGGCTAAGCCACTGAGCTACACTAACACTTCCTAAAGAGTTCTTACCCTGAGAAATGAAGATGGACTGGGTCCTGATCAAAGATGAGTTACTGACTGCCTGGGGAAAATGACCAGTTCTGCATCTGTCTGGACATACATTTCTGCGTGATTTTCTAGGAATTGTTAAAAATTCTTTTTTGACTTAAAAATTCAAGAACTGTTCTAACATCTTTCACCTTCATCAGTTAAATAAAATCTTTGCTATAAGAACATCTTAATTTATGTAAAACAATTATGCTCTTACCTTATTGAAACCCTATCTTTTAACAGAAGCTTGAAGTAATTTTTAAAATAGGAAAATAGAGCTGGAACACAGGAGGCATGTGATCTCTGTGCACACGAGAGGACATGCTGACCTCGGCTTCTCCACCGAGGTCAAAGGTCTCAACCTAACTTCAAACATTTCACAAGGAAACAAAACGCACTAAAACCGTCATGCTTGACACTTGGGGGAAACACAGTAACTCTGCAGTCACAACTGAAAGAATTTGCTGATGTAACCTTTAAGATAACTCACAACCCCAACATTATCAAAATAACACACTGGGTGTGACTTGTGATTCTGGGCTGAAGCCACAGGGAAAAACAAGCAAGGGCACACTTTTAGAGCACCTGAAAGCATTTTACATAGATGGAGTTTTAAAAGCTGTCATGCACAGCTACTGAGCCAGAAGAAACCCCTTCAAGAAGCAGGCTCTCACCAGCAGCATACAGACCCTCATCCTACCACAGCCCCAGGCTGTAAGCAGAAGCCCGTGTTTTAATTCATTTTATCAGTATTGTCAAATGCTTGGGGCTCTCTGTGTGACAATACTTGTGGCATGCACACCACTGCCTCCGCCTTCCTTTACCAAGCCACAGCTACCCGCTCCTATCTGGATTTCTGCCTGCCCGTGTAACCCCCAACACAGAGCCTCCCTGCATATGGAGCTTCCCGCCTTAGGCAGGGGCCACAGATGTCTCCTAGGTAACCAAGGAGCCCCTCCACCTGCAGCCTAGAATCAGGCATGAGCTGGGCCTATCAAGGGGCAGGTAGGGGAGGTGACAGAGGAAGGGGATCACGTAGGGACGGGAGCTGAAGCCACAGAAAAAAACAAGTTCTCGAGGTAGTGTGGGCTGGCTCAGCCCCACAGCCCATGAAGCTCCACTCCAAGCCTCCCTCGGGCTGCCCTGCTCTCCCCGGAGCCCACTAACCGGGTATTTGGACTCTGAGAACTCTGCTCTCCTCACTGGAAGGTGCGCTGTCACATTACCACCATGACATTCAATCTGGAGTCTCACCCGATGTAGCACACTGGGAGCAAGGAGACTAAAGCTGGGTGGCAGCCTGGTGGGTATGGGTGCCCCCAGCTTCAGTGACTGACAAGGTAGTAAGGGGGGCAGGGAGCTGCGATGGTTGTGGCAGCTCAGAGGGGTACTGGAGAGAGGACGTGACATCTCAGGTGATGGACAGGAAGGAGGAAGCACTTCTGGTGCAGGCTGTGTTCCTCCATGCATCAAGCTACAGGACTCTGCCCCATCTGCCATTTCCATAGGGTGACATGCAGGACATACGGGGAAGACAGCACCACGCTCAGCCTTCCGCCGCCTCCTCCAAAGCTGGGATGCCTTCCAAGTGATCCTAGCTGAAGGAAGCAAGTGTCTGCCTCCTTCCAGATGATCAGAACTTTCTCTCCACAGCAGGCTGGTCCTGGGGATGATTCGCCTGTCAGCTTCCAGGTGTTTCCCCGGCCTACAGACTAAGGGTTCCCAAAATCTGCCGACACATTCCTGCCCTGAAGCAGCTCCTAATGCCCAGGAACTGATTACCCACTGTTGTCCAATGGGAAGGAAGATTGGGGCCCTGTAGAACTAAGTGGCTGAACGGTGCTAGGAAGGTTGGTCAGGACAGCCACAGCGCCAACGTCAGAGCAGGAAGTGGCAGTGGGCCCTGGCAAAGTGCACAGGCTGACAGCTACCAGGGCTGAGGATGCTGTGAAAGGCTCCACCCTGGCCCCTCCTGGACCATCAGGACAGAGAGATGTGTCACCAAGAATGACAAGCGCCCCCTTCCCAGGAGACCCAGAGCAACTAGGACCAAAGGCCCAGGGATTATTATGAGTCTTTGCTCAACCCTGCCCCCAGTGGCAGCCCATAGAAGATACCTTTCCAGCCTAGGCATTGATGGGCACTGAATGAGTGTGCCAGCCCAACAGGGCACAGCTTCTGTGCTGGATCCCATGCTGAGCCGTGGACCCCCACACAGCACGGCTGCTCAGCCTCCCAGGGCCTCTCCAGCCTCTCCCTGTCTCTCTTCCCAGCCCTTCAGAGCACGGTTCAGATCCTCCACCCGAACGGGAGGCTGCCTCACCATCTCCTGAAGCTCGCTGCTGCCTTTCCATTGCCCTGATTCTTCCTGCATCCCTCATCAGGGGCCCAGAAGAGAGCAGGATGGTACAGAGCCACCATGTCAGGATAGCTGTCCTGCCATCCTAGGCCTCCATCCGCTCCAGGACTGCGGTGGGAGTAGCTAGCTTTGTCTTGCCCTTTTTTCTCTAGTGGCCGCCTGCCGCTGGGTCATACATGGTGATTGCTTCCCACTTCCAAGCCACACACCCTTCTCCTCCATATGGTCTCTTCCTGTATACACCGCCAAAGCCAACTCCTTCCTCCTGGGCTGCCAGCTCTATCTCAGAGGACAAAGAGCCATCACCTTCCATGGAGGACAGACTGCTAACACTGGAGGGGCCCTGCTGCCCAAATTACCCCCTGGGGAGCAGCAGGGACTGGAGCTCTGTGCCCCAGGGAGGCTACAACTGCGAGTGTGGCCATCCCCAGCAAAGAACTGCTCCTGTTTGTGGCATTCCAGGAAGGAGCACATGGATAATCTCTGGTTAGGAACAGGTGGAAATGCAGAAGGGGTGATACACAGCTCCCTTCCCCTGGAGAAACGGGCTTCCCAGAGGACCCAGGAGTCACACAAGCAAGAGACACTTTCCGGCCCCTGCGGCGTCTTCACCAAGCAGCTTTCAGCACAGCGAAGCCCATGGGCCCGGGAGGCTGATGTGGGAGACGGGTGAAATGGGCCCCATCTGGGGACAGGCGGAATCCATGCCACCTGATGCCATTTCAAAGCCAAATGCAAACATCGGGCCTTGGGGAAGAACTGGGTTCTGCATGGTCAAAGAACATGCTCTGTGAGCCAGCTGGTGGGGGAGGGTTCGCCACAGGCTTTGTCTCTTGGGAGTTTGTTGGTGCTAGCTAAAGATTCGGGAAAAGCAGAAGGCCGACTCCATGTGATAAACTGCAAACATGCATTAATAAAAAAATTGAAATAAAAAAAGGAAAAGCAGCAATGTTTTTCCCATTGTTTTTCCTTGGTACCAGGAATGGAAATCAGGATGACACTTATGCCATGGAGCTCTATCCCCAGCCCTGTTCCTTTTAAAGGAAAGATTCAGTGATTTCTGAAATTACTTTTTTTTTTTTAATTGGTACCGGGAATTGAACTCATGACTGCCTGCTTGCAAGGCAGGCGCTTATGCCACTGAGCTAAATCCCCAGCCCCCTGAAATTACTTTTTTAATTTGCTGATATGGATCTTTGGCCAGGGTGGCATGCAAAAAGGAAAGGCAGACCTGCAGGAGTTTTTTGTGTTTCCAAGATTTTTAATCTCTGGTTTCTCATGAGCTGACCCTGCAAAACTGTTCCCAGACTGCATTTAGCTCATTGTGCCACTAGGGAGCAGCAGGCTCAAGGCCACACACAGCCTGGCCAGGCCAACAGAGCCAGGTTTCAGGGAGGTGTGGTCCAAAGGCAGAACTGACTCCATGTCATCTGTGTGTCAGGATTTCTATTTAAAGATGCTCAAGGCCATCTCTAGTGATCAGATTCCCCAGGACTTGAGCTGTGTGGCAGGTGACAAAGAAAAGGGAAAGGTCAAGAGAAATCCAAAATATAAATAAAGAGTAAGATGAAAGACTGACAATAGCAAAAAAGAAGACAGAACTTTCACAAAAGGAATGGAAATCAAGAGACGAGGGAAGCTGGGTGTGGCAGTGCACACCTGTCATCTCATCTCTGGGAGGCTGAGGCAGGAGGACTCCAAGGAGCTGGGGCCAGCCTGGGCTACATAATGAGGTCAAGACCAGCCTGAACCACATATAGAGATCCTGTCTCAAAAAAAAAAAAAAGGAAACAAAACAAAACCTCAAAAACAAATAACAGAGATGGAGGGAGGAGGGGAAGAGGATGAATAAGAATCTAGATGGGTACATGAATCAACTCCTCACGAGAAATGTACTCATTGTGAACTATAAACGTGCACTTATAAACTGAAGAAAAGAAAGAAACAAGAGGGAGAGGCCACCAGGCCAGCTCCAGACTTTTCTATTCCAGCCTAAGGAGGCTTTCAGGCAGTCCCAAGCCCAAACCTCAGCCCTCACCTCTCTGCACCCTGCTCCAGCCAGGTTGGTTGGAGCCGCTGCAGCCATGCGGCCTCACCCCAGCCACTGTGCAGTGGGCCTCGGGTCTCACTCCTGAGAAGGAATGGTGGACCCGCACTAGTGCCAAGGAATACTAAGAGCACAGGCTGGGCATTCCAGGAAAAACCTGGGGGAAAGCCTGGTGTCCAGGAACATTTGCATCACCCTAAGCAAACCTCGTAGTGTTGGGCAGGGGTAACCAAGTCCCACGGAGCCAAGCACCAGTCCTTGCTTGCTAGGGGCCAAATGTTTGCCCCCTCGCCCCATCCCAGGAGAAATGCAATCCCCTGGGGGATGGTATTGGGAAGGGCACCTTGAAAGGATCATCATGAATTAGAAGCCAGACTAGACTGTATACCAAGACTCTGACTCCAAAAAACAACAACAAAACAACAACAAAAACCAAAGCCAAATACGAAGTGGGCCTTGGGGAAGAGATTAAGTCCTGAGGGTAGCACTAGTGCCCTTACAACAGAAGCCAGAAAGTTTATTTCCCCTCCCCTCCACCCCCTGCTACCCTATGGCAGGGACATAGAAAGCTGGCCCTCTCTGAACCAGGAAACAGGTCCTCACAAGTACCTTCTGCTAGGGCCTCGATCTTGAATTCCCCAGCTAGAACTGTGAGAAATAAATTTCTGTCATTTCTAAGCCACTGCGTTTGTGGTACTTTGTTATTAAAAGGTCGAGCAATGTAAGCCAGCTATCACTTCTGATTCTGAGCAATGTGACGAGAGAGGTTCTGGGTGCTGGCCAGGAGAAATAGAAGTAGCACAGAACTCAGGAAGTCTACTTCTTGGTAAAGATCATCCGAAGCCCACTCCGTACTGATTCCCTGAATCCCAGCCTCACCCTGGCTGGCCAGCCTGAGCACCCCCTGGATTCTGCTGTAACGTAGTGTGGTCGCTACTCCCCACCAGCACAGCTGAGACTGTTGGGCAGGGCTTCACCCGGGATTCCCGTCTCGGGCAGACCCTGGAGCACAGCCCAGTGCCTGTGAACGCCCAAGTCCACTGCCGAGGCTTTGAGCAGTACAGGGAAGGAGCAGCTCCCCAGTACTGGGTGACCATGACACAAACATGGCTCAGCGCCGGCCCAGCCAGGAGACCACATGGAGAAGAAGCCTATGACTTCTGGAAAGCAGCACTGTAGCCTGTCCCCCGCTCCTGGGGGCCTCTGCACGCACAGGAGCACTGACCCGACACACCACCACGGGTGCATGTGGCTTTGCCTCCTACCCTCTGCGTGGCGTGGTTCAGCATCTCCTGCCAGGCTGAGTCGAACTGCCGCTTGTCGTCCTCCAGCAGCCTCTGCTCCGCCAGGGAGATGGTCTCCTTGGCAGCACGAAGCACCTCTGTGGCCCTCTGGAAGTCCTGCGTGGCTTTCTGAGCTTCCAGCTGAGCCTGTGTGACAAAGAACCCTGTGAGGCCCAGGCAATGATTCCTCACCTGTCACACCTCCAAGGCTGGGAACACGGAGTCGCCTGCCTCTCCACTGTGGAAATGGACTGCTGCCTATAGTCCCTTTGTGTGGACTCGAAAACAGGTTCTCACCAGGAAACGGCACCAAGCTGGTAGGCTGATGATTTTCAGTCTAGGACCTGATGGTTAGATACTCAACCCTCAGCTGCACACATTACGAGAAAGCACCAGGTACAGCCAGCTTCAGAGGCAGCCATTCTCAGATGCCCTGGCTCTTTAAGGAGACCACTGTGGGGATGCAGCGGTCTCACCACCTTCCCTGCCCAGAGCCAAGGTACAATTCGTGTCCTGTCAGACCAGAAAGGTCTGACGACCATGGCCCAAGGGTGTTATCCTCTCCTCTGGATGGGGACCCATGGCCGAGAGCACACACTTCCCGGGATCCCACAGCAGTCTACAGCAGAGCCTGACCGGGCCCTGGCAGCGTGAGCACAGCCCAACACGGTGCCTCCTCCATGGTGCCCGATGTAAGGGTACAGCTCCTACTGTTAGGGGCATCGGAGAGAGGAGACATAAATCAGAGCTGCCCCAGCCACGAGAATTTGAAATAGGATTAATCCAAACTGCAAAATGCCCCTCATTTTAAGGACTCAGTGCAAAATAAATATTTAGAATGCTAAATATTCCATTAGATTTCCTTCCTTTTTTCCCTTTCTTTCATATGGGAGACTGAACCCAGGGCCTCTGCGCTGGGCTAAATCCCCAGTCCTCTTCACATTTTTTGAAACAGGGTCTTGTTGAGTTGTCCAGGCTGGGCTTGAACCTGTGACATTCCTGTCAGCCTCCCAGAGTGTTAGGATTATAGACAAGCACCCCCTGCCCGGCTTCATCAGTAATTTTTATGGTGACTGCCCAGTGAAATACAATATGTACACATTAGGTTAAATAAAAGATTAAAATCAAATTATCTGTTCCTCTTTACTTTTTTCCTGCAATGACCAGAAAGTTAAAATGATGCAGATGACTAACAGTCCAATTCTTCTGGCCAGTAGGCCCCTCTCAGGTGTGGGCCAGATGACCTGCAACTGTGACTGCATTGGAAATCGGCAACAAGACACGAAGGCCACCCTGCTCTGGGGGCTTACCTTGAAGTCACCATCACTGCATATACACACACAGACCCCCCCAAATGCCACCAAGTACAGACTCCCTGAGGGTCCCACCCCCGCCTGCCTGTTAGCCGGATCCCCAGCCCCTTCAGAGCACCCAGGGGACAGCCCCGGGGACTCAGAAGGAAAGAGGAACACAGAGACCCCTGCTTTTCCCCAGAGAGGTCCTCACATGACTTAGAGGAAGTTTTCAGAAACCCACACACTGAGGACACTCTGTGAAGAAAGTCAAGGGGAAAAGCCCAAGAGCCCGAAGGCAGAACAGCCCCTGGGGCACCAAACAGTGGGGTGGCCCCTGGCTTCTGACCCTCCAGGCAGACAGCCTGCCGGTGCGGCAGCTCCGGCCCATGGGCGCCCCTGCACAGGCATGAGGAGTAGGCCTGCCCAAGACTGGGCGCAAATTCAAGCTCCCCAGGAAAGAGGGAGACCCAGTCAGAGAGTGCGAAGGAGAAATAACCTGCCACAGAGGGAACCATGAAAGCCTTCGGAAAGGAGGCCGATTCTGAGCTGGAACAGGTGGTCAGGGACCACTGGCAGCTGCTGGTGACCTGGGGCGGGAACAGGGGTTCTGGGCCTCTAGGACGTAATATGAACTGTGCTAGAATCTGTAGGAGATCTGGCAAAACTGGGGAATGGATGTTTTGAAAATGAATCAAGAGTGGAGGCCTTGAATGAACGCCAGGCTGATCCTCCACCGAAGTGGTCCAGGGCCTTCCTGCTGTGGACCTGTGGTGGCCCTGGGATATGCTGGCCAGCTGTGTCCTCTCAGGCCTGCCACCTCCCTCCCACAAACCACAGCAGATCCCTGCAGGCCAAAGCCAGTCTGCCTTTGGTTTTGATTTTTAGGGAATCTCAAATTTCACTTCAGCAACACTGAAGAGTTAACTCTCTCCGGCTGGAATTATGAACCTCCTCTTCAGGCAGGAAAAGGGGTTCCTTCTGAAACCCCGCTGCTGGACTGTGGCCAAACCTCTCAACACCTTGCTGTGTATCTGAGGAGGGACAATCAGGGACCACGAAGAGAGGGAGGACGGGGCCTGCTTCGGTGGCCTTCCCAGCATGCTCTCCACTCAGCTCCTGGCCAGCGTGCAACATTTCCACAGGATCCTTCTGTCCTGTGCCATGGCTCGAGAGCACGCCTGCCTCGTAATATATGCCACAGTCCAGCTCACAGGCAGGTCAAGTCTCCGTGTGACCAAGGCTCACGTCTCAGGTTCCCATCTCCATCGTCCCCCACGCAGGCTCTGATCACTGAGGTCAGCATGGGCGTGTGTCCCATACCCGCTGGCCTTCCTCTCCACCGCCCTTGGGCACAGAGCCCTGAATCGTCAGGGTTCAGCCCTGGGCTACATGAGCAAGCTGTAGCTGATGAGCCGAGGGGTCCTGGAGGCTTCCGGGAGGCCACTGTCACAGACCAAACGTTTATGTCACCCAAGAAAGTGACATACTGCAGCCGCAGCACCCAGGACGACTGCATGTGGAGGGAGGCCCTTCGGGAAGCAAGTGGAGTTTGATGAGGTTCTCGTGATGTGCTGGTAAGAGGGGGACGGGCCTCTCACCCCTCCACTCACTAGTGCCAAACACAGGCGCTGCCCGCCAGCCCAGGACAGCCTGCTCTGCACAGAGCTGCCAGCAGGCTCCACAGCCGTGAGAAATGTGGCCCAGCCTGAGCCCTGTGATCCGGGGTACTCAGTGACGGCAGCCTGCATATGCAAGGCCAGAACTGCACCAGGAGGGGCATCGCTCTGACGAACAGCCAAGCAGTTTCAGGACAGAGTCATGGGGCAGACTTAGGAAATTCTGAGATGCACACTGGAGAATACATCTTCTAAGACTCTAAAATTAAACCTGGGAGGAAGAAGCAGGCTGAAACCCAGGGCAGGAGGGAACCAGCAGGGCAGAGTCTGCTTGGCACTGTGGAGACTGAGCTCTGGAAGGGAGAGGCCACATCTAGACGACGGCATGAAAGACTGTGACAGAGACAGAGGTGTAAAGCACCTTGGAGGCAGGGAAAGGGTAAACTGGAGAGGTCATTTACAGAGCTTGCCACTGACACCTTGAAACCTTCGGCACAGCCACTATACTCAACTTGCAATTTCATAAGGGAGCCTGGCCCTGGCACCTGGAGCCCCAAGTTCCATGGTATGTACTAGTCACACACTGGTTCACTCACCGAGAGGCCCCGTGAGCCCACTGGCAGGGTGAGCTTGTGTGCCACACTCCAAGAAAGGAAAGGCCAGCAGGATGCGATCTGAGCTAGGGGCTGCACAGGAAGACTGTAAACATCTCCATGACTTATGGACACTAGGGCTTTCAAGAAGTGGCTTGTGGAGAAGTCCCAAAGGCTGCTCGTGAAGGGATCCGGAATGTGCCCTTCCTCACACACTGGTCCAGGTCAAGTGTGACAGGGAGGCACTCAGAAAAGCAGCGCCGGTTGGCCCAGCAACTCTGGGATGGTGGCACTCTGGGAGGCCCAGGCAGTTTGAGCCCTGCTGGGTAACTTAGGGAAACACTGTGTTGAAATAAAAATATAAAAGTGGGTTGGGGAGATAAGCATGAGGGCCCTGGCTTCAATTCCTAATGCAATGATAGCAAGAAAAAAAAAGAAAGGGAAGGGGAAAGGGAGACAGAGAGGAAGATGGAGGGAGAGAGGGAAAGAGAAAGAGAAAAGACAAGAAAGAAAGAAACAAGTGGGCGTTTGCAAAGTGCCACCGACAGCGGTGGGCAGAGGTCACTACTGCTGAGGCTCTAGGAGGAGTCCGGCCTCTGTGATGCTGTGATCACTCTAGCTCGAAAATGCTCTCTGGAGTGAGAGTGCTAGACATTTGCACCAGGTGTATCCAAGTCCAGATGAAAGGACGCTAAGAGACTGCCCAGCTCAAGGCCTTCATTTTTCCTGGGGGAGCGGGGGTCCTGATTAGGGAGGCAATTTGCTAGCATCACACAGCTGCTCTGTGATCTGCTGAAGCCCTGGCCCCTGGTCTGAGGCCACCAGTTCTGCTGTACCACACAGTGTCTGCTAGTGGGTACCGACATCATCACCGGGCACCTGGTGATGGGCCTGTCAACAAGACATAGCAAGGAGAGCTGCCCAGAGGCCAAGGAGATATGCACATGCAGACCCCACTGACACTGCTGCCTCCTACCCTACAGCCCCACCGAGGTCCCACACACCAGTTCCGAGTGCTGGAAGGGGAAGGCTGCCCACAGCCAGGGTGCCCAGGAGCCCAGGCCGATGCAGTATCTGGCTACTGATAAACTCAGAAGTCTGGATACTGACAATTATGAAAAAGAAAATAATTACAGAAGTTACTACCTGAACATTAATTCTGTGTCAAGTGATAAACAGAGGGCATTTTGAATATACTGCTTCATTTAAATCTCAAAATATAACCAAGTATGGTGGTGCATGCCTATAATTCCAGCACCGAGGAGGCCGAGGCAGGAAGATTGCTAGGAGTTCAAGGGGCAGCCTGGGCTCCATAGCGGATTCAAGTCCAGCCTGAATTACACAGCAAGACCCTGGCTTAAAAAGACCAATACACAAACAAACTCGAAAATAGCCCAAAAGGGCAGTTAATTCTCATCCCCGCTTTATAACAGGGTTCAAGACTCATAATGGGTAAATTGCAGATTTAAGTGCTATCAAGCGTGGGGTTGAGATTCAAATCCTGACCCACAGGTTCACTTTGAATTGCCATCAAGGACCACGTGCTGGGCTCCAAACCCCTGACAAAACAGTTCCTATCAAGCTGAGCTTGGCCAGACTTCTCCACGCCAGTCAAGGCCACACTGGCTCCTGCCATGCAGATC